AACTGCATAACGCATTGACTTTCTTAGCGGTGGGGGTATCCGAACGTATGAACTCTTATTTGCACACAATTGGCCTATGTAGCTCACGAGATACAGCAACAAAAGCATTGAGGAGATTACGAGACATTAATGAGGCCAAACTGAAGCGTGTAATGAGGAAAAATCATACCTTTCCTCCGATGATCTGTTTCGACAATATTGACCTACTGAGACGTTTGTCAAAGGCACGGGTGGATGGAAACCAATGGATTTTTCGAGGGACATATGGCTATGTCCATGTGATCCCACCTCACTTAGCCCAAACGATGGATCCATTGTCTGAAAGCTGTAACTTGAAGAAATTCCTTGCTTACCACGACACAGCACAAGAAAAACCTGTTCGGTTATGGACATTCTTGCCAACCGTTCAAGAACAGCTCACTTGGAAAGCTTCACTTAAATCACAGCTGACAAAGTGTTTATATAAATACATCATTGGCGACGGTCCACGCCCTTCAACCAAACTCCCTTCAAAGCCACCACCGATCGAAGAAATCCCTCGATACAATCCGGAGATTTATATGCTAAAGATGCTTGATTGTTCAGAAAACTCGGCCGAAGGAATTAGTCATGTTTTTGACGGTATTTTGCAACAGACCGGTGTAGCACGTGAATTAAGTGCTAGTCGTATTCAGGTGGTTAATGGTGATGTGGCCACTTGTCAAGCGATTGAAAGTTTGAGAAAGAAGCTCTTCCCAGCGGGTTCCGATGTCGATACCGGTCAAAATCTGATTACAATCTTTGGCGCTTCTCATACTCTGTGGAATGTTGCACAAGCAATCCTTTGCGAGCACTGGGGTACTCCTGGTGTGAAGAATGATACTGGGGCCTGGCGATGGTGGCAGTCATTAGGAGGCTCAATACGTAAACCACCTGCGAAAATGGATTTTAACCAGGTCCTACAAGCGATTCATCAGATACACATGGCTACCCTCACTTTCTGTTTGAGGTAAGTTTATTTCTTATTTCTATACTGATAATTGGGATACAGTTTAAGCTAGCGTGGTACATAATTTACAGGCAAATCATAACCGAAGAATCCAAAGAAGGGCCACCAGACTTTTCAAAAGAAGGGGTTGCGGAGAAGTTGATTGAAAAATGCTATAATGAATTCTGCTCGCCACGTGCTTTAAAAAAAGCACGTGTGTCTGGTAATAAGAAAGGCTACAACCTAAGATTACGAATTCGAGATTTTGCAACTGTTGTTGAGACTGACGAAGCTATGCAATGTGGAGATATTGGACGATGTATTTCCATGTGGAAATTATGGTCTCTAATGGCTCATGGTGTGAAAGGCCTCCCTCGCTATGCTCGACATATCACTCGATTCATCAATTTAGTGGAGCATGATCTCCCAAAACCATTAGCCACTTTAATCAAACACTGCATGCTTATTCCGACCAGGGACGGCCAGGGTCATTTTGTAGCTACTGACTTCTTCTTAGAAACTATGAATTACTGGCTGAAGTTCTTTTACAATCGCGCGGTCAGTCTGTTTACACAAACTTATTGGATATCCCAAAATTGATTATAGTCATTATATTTTATTTCTTTCAATATTATTATAGGGTAATGGCACAGATATTGAAAAATTAATGAATGACATTTCAAATAATATTCCATTTGTACGTGTGTGAGACAACTGTTTCATTTCGAATAACTAATTCAGCCTAAAACCGGTCAGCTGCGCAAGCTAATTCAACAACTCAAGATCCGATCTGGACTACAACCGATATATCAGAAACACGATCACAAGATCAACGAGGCGACCATGGCTCAATTCCAGCGGGTAGCTCAAGACTACTTGGCGGAAATGGATTCCCAGCATATGCAGAGCCACGATATGCCGCTCGATGTGTTGGAAGTTGGAAGACGCAAGCTAGCACATAATCTTGAGGCTGATGTTCTTCAAAAAAGGCCCTCTCGATATCGCTGGGGACATAAAGCACATGAGAAAGCTGATGATACCATGCTGTCAGAATAGTTGTAATAAAAAACTAGGACGATGTTAATCGCTTGCGAGTATTGCCTTTTTGACTAGTAAATTGAAGATTATCTTGAGTTGCCTTTTTATGATAATTCAACTCTTCTTCAGTGGGATCTAAAACCGCCCAAATGTTTCTGCTATGTCGCCAGGTGTCCATTACTTCGGCGAGCCTGACATATGTGTTGGGAAGTGGTTCACCTCCATAGATCGCATCCAAAGGTAGGCCATTGGTCAGAGGCCCGAGATTCCCAATTATCTTCCAAGCGAGGTCACTTGAGAAAAGCACTTCTGCTGTGAAATAGGACAATTCAGGATCGGGATAATAAGATTCAAATATATTGTTGAAAGCCTTTATAAGCCAGAGATACAGCCTGATGTATCGGATGTCTCGACGAATGGGGTCTCCTTCAGAGACTTCCAGTGGCTTGAGAGGCTCATCAGATAGAGCCAAAACAGTTCGGTTAAATAGATTCGGGGTAGCGTTTGGCAGAGTATAATCTTTTTGAATCCAAGAATCAAACGTCGATGTTGTAATCTCAAGCTGGGCATGAGAAAAACCGAGGGCTGAACTCGAGTGACAATTTGAGCAACAGCATTTTGCCATTCCAGCAACTTGCTGTCGCAGTAGCTCATCAAGATAGACCTGGTCATCGGAAGAAATTGGGATGTATCCATGTCTAAACGATCCATGGTCAGCAAAAATGAATCAGGCAGTGAGGCGAAGTTCCACTTACTTCATATCGACGGCAAGCGCCACTCGCAAGCAGACTGGAGTTATAGCCAAAGCATCCATGCGATCGTCGTCAGGTTGATCCGTGGAATTGGTGAAATCTGCCACCGAGTTTTTACCGCCAGGTCGTTTAGCCTCTACTAATAAAAACCCAACGCCCATTCGGCCATCACGCCCAGCGCGGCCTACCATTTGAATAGTGTCGGAAGGGTTGGTGCGACCCAAAACAAAGACCCGTCGCACTTGTTTCCAGTTCTGACCCATTCCCAGGGCGGTGGTACAAGTCATGATAGGGAATTTTCCTTCGGAAAAATCTTTGACCCGCTGTAACTTATCGTTGGGTGCAGTGGTAGCGTGATATCTTCGCACGCAGGTACTAACTCCACAGCTCGAGTCTGTAGGATTTTCGCGGCCAAGGTTTATAGCTTGCATTGCGGCGAAAGTGTCATCCTGGGTGTGGCAGTAAACTAGAGTGGGCGGGATAGAGTTGTCGGGTACGTTCTCTTTCGGACCGAAAAAGTTGGAAAGATATCCAATGGCGGAGATGCCTGTTGGGACTCGGAGTCGAATCCAGCGAAGTTCCGGGCGCGTCAGCTCGGCTTTGTGAATGTCGACTTCACTCGGTCGTAATTGAAGATTTTCGAAAATTGCGTTCATCGCCTTGGGTGGGCAGGTAGCTGACATCAAGAGAATCGGTACCCGCTCGGTAGCCAAAAACCTTTCAATTAGATCTCCATACGAAGGCCGAAAAGACGATCTGTCTTGAGGGCCAGTTATAGAAATTCCAATCTTGTGTTTATCACTTTTCGCCAGACCCCAGTAGTAAATGAGATGGGCCTCGTCAACCACCTTGAGGACCAATTTCTCTTGGAAATTTTTCGAGAAAAAGATGCTTGTAAACCGAGGATTGTTTAAAAAGATTTCGGGTGACTAGAAATGTAGCAAATGATTAGCTACGAGAATTCAACGTACAGCGGCAGCCATAACTCACCACATACACAAAACGGTACACACCGCGCTCAAGGTTGCGTATTACCTCGTCCGTAAAATTATGACGGTTCAGATTCACGGCTGAAAAGCCCGCCTTCGTCTTTTCCTTCACCTAAGCAAACTCACCACATTTTGTCAGTGAAACCAACCGTGAGGACACTCAAACAAAAAACAAAACGTACCTGATCGTCACCCAACGCGTCTGTGGGATTCAAAACTAGGACAAAGGCTCCCGAGTCCTCAGGAAACAGCATCAGAAACAGCTCGGCTACGCAAGACTTCCCAAACCCGGTTCCGGCAAGAAGGAATGTGGTCTTGTTGTTCATCAGGCTATGGACAGATCGTATCTGTTTTTCTCGAGACTCGAAACCGTATTTGGTATGGAACATGGCCTGAAGAATCTCGATTTGGGCGTCAGGTGAGCTTTTTTTGTGTTTTTCTTCAATCAGAGGTCGACCTGGCTTGAATTGAATTGCTTTCGGAGAATGACTTGCTTGATTAGAATTGTCTTCCGGTGATTTCGTGGTCGCTGCTTCTCTTGCTGAACTTCGAAGATGCATGTCTAAAGGTAATTAGGTGGTGGTGTTCAACCGCGTTGTAACCGCGTCGTGCATGAGCGGGGGTGCAACAATTGAAAGCGCTTGGGGCAGATAGCCGCACGTAAGCTTGTTTTGGACTTCTGTCCAAAACAAAATAATGGGGGTCCGAAACAAAATATTTGGCCAATACTCCCAAATCAATTTCCGGGCCTGCACGCGCGCTGAACCCGTTGAAATCCATGGATATTGGAATCCAATTTTCCCACAATCTACAAGTGGTGACATGCTAAAAACAGTCCGAAGTGAAGGAGAAGGCTCAGCAGAGGCACTCCTGAATTTCTTGCAACCTTTTACGATGTTTAAAGCCCTCAAAAAGGGATTTCAAGCAAAAGTGCTCGAAATTCCTGCTGGTCTCAGGCCAAGCTCGGGGTGTATGCCCTAAGCCCCTCTTCGAGAGCGGACGTGGCCGCGTCGGAAGAGGGGCTTATGTTAAGCTTAGTGTATCGAAATATCGGAGCTTGTGGTATTGATCAGTCATCCAGATTCCAGATTGAGAAAGAAATATATAAACAGTTTGGATCAGTCTTGAACCCTTTCTTGATTCATCTCTTCCGCTTCACATTTTTCTTTTCCACTTCTTTTCATCTTCAACGAAATAGAAATACGAAAGACCACAAGCCATCTATTGATCTTTAAATTCTTACTCTTACTCAAGATGAATACCACTAACCAAACCACGATGATCATGGAACCCAACTCACATCATGATCCATCAACAAGTGCCTCAAACTATAGCTACATCTACCAAATGATCATCTCATTCACTCTAATCTCAATCCAAGCATCAACCCTACACCCAACCTTCATCAAATCAAACTTATCAAAATACATAAGAATAAGTTTAACACCCATCAATTTCTATTTATTTTTTACATCACCTTTTAGATCGAATTCTAGATTACCTAGCAGTTTTGATACATTTCAAAAATTAGGTTTCGGTTCTAATTCGATTATATTTGCTATTAAATCATTAGAATTTGGGTTTTCTAAAAAATCTTATTATGTTAGAAAAATTGAAAAGAATGAAAAGGATGGAAGTTTGGAATGGAATCAGGTTAAAGATTTAGATAGGTTAAAGGATTTGAAAAAGGCTCAGGAAGAAGAAGGTCCGGTTGGGTTTACTAAGTTGGTTTGGTGGACGATTTTAAATTTAACTTCGTTGAGTGATTCTTTGATGTATATACTTCATTCCGTTCTTCAACTGACTAAATATCATCTTTATTAATAACAGGTTCAGAGGATTGCAATTTACTTTTGGACCCACTGCAAAAGCCAACAATTACACAATCCAAGAGTTGTTCAAAAGGTTAATAAAAGTCTCCATCGCATTACTTATCTCAGGTTTAATTATCCTACAAACCCATCGTTCTCCCCTACAAACACCCATGTCAGCCTTAACTTCATACGGAATTCCAAACATATGGATCATAAGTTTAATTTCAGAATGGATCCATAGAATAAGTTTTGGAATCTGTTTATCAAGTTCCATAGATTTACAATTCACATCCTTAACGATCTCATTTCATTTCATACACAAATTCTTGACCCGATTTCCAAATTATTTTTCATCCGATTTCTTAGAATTAATTAATCCAATTTATTATCCTCCTATATTTAATTCTCCTCATCTATCTAATTCTTTAAACGATTTATGGAGTCATAGATGGCATCCAATCTTAAAAAGATCTTTTTTAACTTTAGGTGGTAAACCTACTTTTTGGTTTTTTAATCAATTCTTAGGATTGAATTTTAAACTTTCTCAACTTGCTGGTTTGATCGGTACTTTTCTTGCAAGTGGATCTTACATGAATATGGTAAGTTTTTTTTCATGATCTCTATTACATGCCTAAATCATCCCAGTTCGAAACTAACTTTTCGTGTGATTTTCTCAGCTGTCTGTGCTTTACTACATCCAGTTAATCCATTAGACCATCTCTTTGATCATCCTCCTGCTCTATTATACTACTTCATAGCTCAATCTTTAGCTATCATCTTTGAAAGTTTCTTACCCAAGAAATTCTCTAGAGTCTTCTTTATTGTCTTTTCAATGTGGATTTGTAAACCGTTTATAAATAGATACATTCTTGATGCCAAGATTTTAGATTGATCACCATAAACTCTTTTCTACTTTTATTTCTCAATTTCATTGTTTTCTTTGCTTTTTTTTCTCGGACCGCGCCAAACACCAAGCATCATGTTTGTATTATAAGATTGATTTTTTTTTCATGATTTCATCATTCATTTTCTCTATCTTGTATTGTTGGTTGTAGAATTTCGCTGCTTAATAACAATCACATCTCAATTCTTGCTTACAAAAAAGACACCGAGTATTTCCCTAAACCAAACGGTTCCAAACTTCG